GTCATCAAAAGATTCATAGTGTAGAAGAAAGCGCATAGCAACAGTAGATGAGACTTTCGATTTGAACGAACTAATGAATCGAAAAGTATATTGTTAGGCAATCTTTTATATCTTTTTTTTACCTGCAATATGAAAGAATCGGTCCAATTATGAGTTAGTTGATTGAATTCGAGTTTTGTTATGGGTTGAGAAGAGAAATGGTTCTCTGTTTCGAATGTATTCAATACATCAGATACAGTTGTAGTACTGAAATCACATAGTATTCTAATATAATTTAAGAAAGTCAATCCATTCTTGCGAAAATCGACCCAATATAAAGATGGAGTTGGATCGATAGTACCATTGAGAAATTCCATCGTCCAATATTGAAGCCAAAGTTCATCACGAATAAAACTACTTGTACAAAATGGATGAAATTGTACTTCATAATGCATGAATGTTGAGCGTGGTATTGAAAAACGACTACATGGACATGATAGAATCGATGAATACATTTTATTAAGCTCTTCAAATTGCTTGATGCTTGGATTTTGAACAATAACTTGTTTTGAGGCAATTACTTTAGTGAAGTAGATAGTCAATATATAAACACCGACCATCAAAAATACAATATAGACTCGAGTAGAATAGATACCTTGCTCAACATTAGTGAAAGTCGTCTTGAACAAATTGAATGTAGTAAATTTTTGATAAGCTATCCTACACATATTCCATACACGATCTCGGAAATCTATGAAGAGAAAAACATGAGAAGTAACAGAAATTTATGGAAGAAGAAATCAGTTTTACTTCTTCTTGATTCACGTTCTTCATCAGCTGTAAGGGTTCGAGTCTGTTGGTAAATTATTTTTGAAATGAATTTGACAAACAATGAACACCCAATATGCAATGCCACACTCAATCCACCAAAGAGACTGGTTGCGACTGTGATCATGTAAATGAAAAAGAAGCGTCGTACATATGAATACGAACAGACAGCGGGTGCACAAATCTTAAAGTAGGCAGCGAAATCAGGAAAACTGTACCAGGATTCGAGCATTAGATTATCAAAAATATCACCGATAGTTGTTGTTGGACCAAATCGAGAAATAGAATTCGAAATATTTAGTGCAAAGACAGTACGAAGAGCCCCAGTTAATGTAATAACTATATCCAAGCATGATTGATTATAAAAACATTCTAATGTCGATTGAAGTAATGCATTTTGAGGTACACATCCAACTTGAAATCCTGGTACAACAAATAGAAGTGATGCATTATTTGAAAATGCTTCATTTGAAATAATGGCTTTTGATTGATTATAGATACCAGCAGGGTAGATACAATTACTCGTTTGATCACATCGACATGTTTCACTTGACATAAATGACGATTGTGTCAGATTTACCTTTTGTGGATAGATACAAGAAAAAGTTGTATAGTGGTCACTACCAGGAACACTTCTAGTATAGAAATTTGTACGCAACGCAGATATGAGACGACTTTCGTCGATAATGGATGAAATAAAATCATTGAGTGTACGAAAATTCTCAAGAGTAGTTTTGTTGAATTGGTCGACAAGCGTGTCTGTATATGTATCAAAGACGGTACGTGATACAGCACGTGGTGAAACAAATATGGTCGCAGAAAATTCATTCACAGCATCAGATACGATGTTACGTACTATTCGACAGACAGCAGATAAAACTTGAAACTGGGCAGAGACCATCAGACGAAAGTCCAAAGGATAGTAATTGCTTGTTGTCACATTGAACAAAGAAGAGATCCATTCTTCACTTATTAAATCACTTGAACAAACTTGATGAAATTGTGGATTGAATGAAAAGAATTCTTTATAAGGAAAAGATATTTGAGAGCAGCGGCAAGTAAATGTATTGGGGTACCTATTGGCGATGTTCTCAAAATCACTAACCGAAGGTGAATCAACAGTAATTACACGAATTTGAGGGATGACAGCAGTGAATGAGAGAACCATGATGAGTGCTAACGAAAGAGTGACAATGAAAACGCGTGTAGTTAATAGTTGATCACTAAAATTCAATTCATCGTCATCATCGTAGAGGTTCCAATTCCTGATGAAATGTATAAATAAATGTCGATATCGAATACGAGTACTAACTTCGGTGGTCATTGATCTAGAAGAATCTTTCTTTATTGCTCTACGATTAACTTAAATGCATGTCAGATGCCTAAGATTTTGAGCGTATAATGCTATCCTTCGGATAACTATGGACTACGTAAATGTGATGAATGTCAGTTCATCATCTATATATTTTCTATTGTTTATATAGAAAAAAAAACAAGTAATTAGAACTCTTCTTGGTATCAATTCATAACTATCACATTCACTTCGTCGATGGAACTACTGCCCATTTCAAAAAAGAGAGTAGTTATTTCTTGAATAATTTTCGATAGAACTACTGTAGAGTACTGCAGTTTTCACCGTGAAAAATAGAAGATGAAGACTTATCGAACCGTATATTACAGAGAAATTAGACCTAATTTTATCAAGGATTTAAATCGACGTTTTTTGAAAACCAACATACTCCGGAACATGACTAAAGACAATTTTCAATAATCAGGTATGCATTCGAACCGCTTAATGAAGATCTTTAAAATTATGCAAGGCCCAGACTGTTACGCTTACCCGTTTAGTAGTTATAGGCATTTTATGTGAAAGTCTAAGCCGATCTTTCTATTAATTTCTGTAAAAAAATCCCTTTGTTTTTATTTTTATTTTTAGAGAAATCGATTTTCCATTATTTTTACAGGAAACTCATTTAAAAAATATCTTAAAGAAAGCTATAAGACATCCTCATGTGCATCTTTATCTCCTCTTTTCAACAGTGAAAATCGTAGCTCTCTACAGTGTTTCTATCAAAACTTATTCAAAAAATACCAAACCGCCTTTTATTTAGAAATGGGATGTAGTAAATAGGCATGTGTTTGTAATGTTTAAGGTTCTATTGAAATTATCGATAGTAATATAGCTACACCTTTAGTAAAATGTCATTTTCTCATTATTTTAATTGTGTGCTTTTTCTTAAACAATATTCTCTTACTTGCTAGTGTGCTAAACTTCGAATTTTTTCCAAAAATTACTTTTATTCTGATTCCTACTGAGAATAGCTCTATTTGTTACAGGTTGCTGCTCTTTTCAAGAGACAATTACTTTTTCTTCTTTCTTTTCTTACAAGCATATTGTTCTATTATCTAATAGAACGATAAATAGTCGGTTTCAAAGTATTCATATTTCTATTTAGGACAATTTACTAGAATTTAAACAGGATCAGTTAGTTAATTGTTGAAGCATTTGCATTCGTCGTATTATCCTATCTTTAATGATTTGTTTCGTTTTTTGGTCAGAATCAAATGTTATTTCTTGTGAGAAAGTGCTATGTAGATGGCAGTTATTTTTGTTTTAAAGAAAGTATTCAGCAAGTCATGCGTATCATTAGTTGATGAAAGTGTTGAATAAATTTACGCATAAACATATTTGATTTTCAAACTGAAGAGTTTTTAATAGTAATAGGATTAGAATCATTCACAAGAGGAGTGATCTTTTCTTTTCTTGCAATACTATTACATTATTGGATATGGCTGCTTGCATTCAACAGAATGTACGCATAAAAAATTTGAGAAAGATATTGTTGAAAGAGCACTTTAAAGGAGCTACTCATACAATATTAAAAGACGCTCGCATTTTTTATATGAAAAACAAAAACGTCCGTCATTCAATGCATTTAGCTTTTTTAATTTTTTTCATTACTTAAAAAGCTTGAAAATGATAAGTAGTGCCGAACGTTTTAAAAAATGTCACGTTCTGCAATAATTATCTTTGCAACTTCTCAACCAATGAAATTTTTTTTTAAACAGTAATATGTGAACTATAAATTTTATACGACATGCATATTTTCCAGAATGATTCAAAGAATGCAACATGTCTAAAAAAGAAAAAACACAGATATAGATCAATTTAGATCCACACTGACAACAGTGTTCTAAATATCATGTTTCATCTTGCTGACACTGCCGTCTGTTGTCTTTGAAAGAGAAAAATGTCTCCCATTTTCTCTGTAGACAATACCATATATATCAACCTATTCACATATTTCTACCATTTCAGTCTAAAATGGTTCAATCTATGATTTTTGGTTTTAGTTACTTTTAATGTTCCTTTTGAAAACAGTTGAAGTGTGAGTTTAGGGTTTCGTTTTATCCGCACCCGTTCTGGCACACCCACAGTCAGATCTCATTCCCCATCGCATCCACACACTACATTCATACCCTCTGTTCTGATGTTGTTTTCCGTCATTTTTCACCCATGGCGTAAATTTCTGCGAAAAAAACGCGTTCTCAAAACGCATTTTTCCATAGTTGCGAAACGCGTTAATGCTGACCGGTTTAACGCATTTCACATCTGCTAATACGAACGCTGTGAAACGATCGTTTTTCTAAAAACGTTTCGTAGCGTTTCTCTAACTGTGGTGTCGTATATTCTAGATGGAAAAAAATGAAAACCGTCAAGTACTTCATGCACTTTGAGTTGCAGATACAATAATTCTACTCGCTTACATTTTTCATACATCTTTAGAGCTATAACTTAGATCAATTTTGATAAAGCCAACACATAGATTCGAACACGAGAACATAAGAGTAGAAGACATGTGTACAAACCGTTCAACTAAAATAATCTAATGATATAAGTACTTATTCTATAGTCTTTCAGAGTCTTCCGTAAACTTACTAAATTAGATTTTCAGTATCCCAAACCATTAAATTAAAAATTATCATTTCCTTGGTGCCTATACCCAATAACGAGTTTGATCTCCTCTTGGTATATTTTTTATTTGAACTTGTTTAAATTTAAATTTAAATACCCAATTGAAACGATTTTAATTAATTTAAATTGTATTTAATATTTAAACAAGTTGAATCTCTTAGATATAAATTTTAAGAAATTTAAAAATAAATTTTTTGAATTGTTTTCTTTATTTGATAGATTTTTGTATATTTAAATTCGTCATCCTTTTATCCAAAAGTATCACTATATGCAAAGAATCTTCTTTTGTAAATCGAATATTCTTTTTATTAATAAGTCACGCTTACATTAACAAAGTACGAACTAAATTCATATTTAATAGTATTGTACACAGTATCAACAGTCACTATCAAGTAGTCCAAATATGAATTCATACCAATAATTATTCAAATTATAAATAACTCGAGATTCTTTTCTTCACAAATAAACAAACAAAGTTGTCGTACACATTATACTAGCATCAGTCTTTACTAAATCTTTTCGAATTGTTCAGTATTTAAAACAATGCTTGGTTGAACGTTACGAAACACGTTTTCTTTCAATACAAACCTAGTGAAATGAGTTTTCAAGGAAGAAAAACATATTTTTCTTACACTTTGATGTTCAATATTAGTCTAACTAGCAATCAGACTTATATAACAGTCTAGCAGCCTAAACATTTAGAAGAATTCTATTTTAATTTTGTGTTTGGAAAGTTTGGGTCATGATTTTCATGTTGAGAAACAGTGCAAGGAACAAAATGTTCCAATCCCATTTAGTATAATTTCTAAAATAGTGCCAGAATTAACTTTGCTTAACTCCTACGTTTTGTACAGATAAATTCCTGCAAGATTCTGTATGCAAAACGGATATATTCTGCATCATTTCAAACAAAAACGATGCAAAATGCGTTTGAAAAGGAAACGCGTTTCACGTTTCTCCGAATCTGTGTCTCTGGAACGCGTTACCTACCGACCGAAATGCGTTCGACATTATTTCACTTCGGAAACGCTTCGAAACGCAATCTTGGAAAAACGCGTTTCAGATCGTTTCACAAAACGACAGCAGCAAAACGCATTCTATCGAAGTAAGAATGCTGTGAAACGCGTTCTATATTGAAAAAACGCTGCGGAACGCATGCTGCAATCTCAGAAACGCATTACGCAGTCCGTTTCCTTGAATATTTTACTCCATGGGCACATTCGCAAATTTGTTTCTTTGCCAATATTCTTTTCGTTACTCTGCATCTTCACCAAATGTATTTTCTCTATACTGACTTTTGCTGGTTCTCTTTTTTGACTCGAAAGTTTTTCGTTCGATAAACATCATAACACATTGACAAATTTTTTTTATCGTTTCTGACCTGAACGATAAATCGAATGAACTTTGATTAAAACGAAAAAATCAATAATGTTCTGTAGAAAGGATTTGATATTTAGTGAAAATTCTCTCATAGTTATGTATATCATAATATGTCTACTTAGTTTTCTAGTTCGACGTTCCGATCGATATCTAATATTTCTTACTAAGCTGGTACGAAAGTGTTCGGAATAAAATATTTT